TCTTGCTTCTGACTACAGAGATCACTAGCAAAGAAGAGACTCTGAGGGAGTTTTCGGGTGGCTGTGCTCAAAGCCTTCTTGTAGGGAGGGTTGCAAAACTGAAACAAAGTACTGGGAACACACTGGATGTGCGGGAGTCTAGAGGTGTGTAGGACTGGAACAAAACGCCTTTGAGGGGGAAATTCTCTTCCAGGTGGGAGACACTGACACCTGCTCTCCTTCCCCCAACCTGCACCTGTTTGTTTGAGCAGTGATGATCAAAAGGATTGGCCCCAACCACAGAGCATCATCAATTTCTTTTTTTTTTTTTTTTAAGATTTTTTTTTGTTGTTGTAAAGTCAGATGCACAGAGAGTAAGATCCTCCTTCCAATATCCACTCCCCAAGTAACCCCAACAGCCAGAGCTATGCCGATCCAAAGCCTGGAGCCTCACCCAGGTCTCTCATGCGGGTGCAGGGCCTCAAGGCCATGGGCTGTCCTCCACTGCTTTCCCAAACCACAAGCTGGGAGCTGGATGGAAAATGGGGCTGCTGCGATTTGAACTGACACCCATATGGGATCCTGATGCATTCAAGGCGAGGACATTAGCCACTAGGGCACTGCAGTGGGCCCACATCATCAATTTCTAATAAAAATCGACCAAGCAAATGCTGATCACCATCCCTGATAGCAAATTGCCAGAAGCCATCGGGAGAGCCTTGCAGACTTGATCTCCACCGTGACCCTCCATCACGGGACTTTCATCATCCTCACTTGACACAACAGGAAACAGAGGTGCGGCCAGGCTGAATTTGCCAAGGCCACGCAGCTATTAGTTAACAGAATCCAGATCAAATACAGTTCTTTCTAATCCCAGGATGTTCACCTCTTATTTGTAAGTGAAAACAAATAAGACTCACTGTCATGCTCCCTCACTCCTGATGAAAATCTTTTTCCAGGAGCAGGACCAAGTACTTGGCACGGTGATTCAGACCCTCTTGGAACACCCACAGCTCATAGCAGAGGGCCTGAGTTCATGTCCTGGCACCACTCCTGATTCCAGTTTCCTGCCAGTGCATACCCGGGGAGCCAGGAGGTGATGGTTCCAGGCCCTGGGTCTTTGCCACCTGCCTGGGAGATTCAGGCTCCTGGCTTCAGCATGGTACAGCTCCAGCTGATGTGAGAATCTGGAAGAGTGAAACAGTGGATGGAAAATTTGCCTCTCTATTTTAAGTGAATGGGAGGGAAAAAAAAACTTTTCTGAAAGGACAGAGGGTGCATGCTATGGACACATGTAACATGAGAATGTTTTCTACAACAGGAACAGCTACTGAGCAAAGCCTAGAACAGCCAACCTGGGTGTCAGGAGCTTGGGGGACTCAGGTAGCTGGGTTCTTACCCCCATCTCTGCAGGCATAAAGGTACTTGAACCTAAGCAAAGCAACAGCTTTCTGCTCCCACCTTTTCTTTTAAATATTTATTTATTTATTGGAAAGTCAGATATACAGAGAGGAGGAGAGACAGAGAGGAAGATCTTCCATCCGATGTTCACTCCCCAAGTGAGCACAACGGCCGGTGCTATGCCGATCTGAAGCCAGGATCCAGGAACTTCTTCCGGGTCTCCCACACAGGTGCAGGGTTCCAAAGCCTTGGGCCGTTCTCGACTGCTTTCCCAGGCCACAAGCAGGGAGCTGGATGGGAAGTGGAGCTGCTGGGATTAGAACCGGCGCCCATATGGGATCCCGGCACGTTTAAGGTGAGGACTTTAGCTGCTAGGCCACGCTGCCGGGCCATGCCCCCTCCTTTTCTTCTATACAATGGGAATAACTCAGCAGAAGCCACTTAACGTAAGAGTACTGAGAAGGGGCCAAGGCTGTGGCATCCTGCATAAAGCCTTCGCCTGAGATGCTGGCATTCCATTTAGGCATTGCTTCAAGTTCCAGCTGCTCCATTTTTGATCCAGCTCCCTGCTAATAGCCTGGGGAAATGGCCCAGATCCTTTGACCCCTGCACCCATGTAAGAGACCCCAAAAAAGCTGCTGGTTTCAGCTTAGCCCAAATCAGGCCAGTGCAGCTATTTGGGGAGAAACCCAGTGGAAGATCTCTCTCCCTCTCTCTGTAACTCTGCATTTTAGATAGATAGATAAACAGATAGATTGATAGATAAATTTTAAAGCAAGACTACTGAGAAAACCAGACCACAAAAAAGCGTTTGTGAAAGCACTCTTTGGTGTGGAAAACTGTTGTTGGGTGCCTGTGCCATGGCACTGGGATCCCACAGGGGCACCAGTTCATGTCCCAGCTGCTCCACTTCCCTTTCAGCTCCCTGCTTTTGGCCTGGAAAAGCAGTAGAGGATGGCCCAAAGTCTTGGGACCTGCACCCATGTGGGAAAACTGGAAGAAGCTCCTGGCTCCTGGTTTCAGAATGGCTCAGTTCTGACCATTGCAGCCACTTGGTGAGAGAATCAATGGAAGGAAGACCATTTCTGTCTCTCCTTTCTCTAAAATCTGCCCTTCAAATGAAAATAAATATGTCTTTAAAAAAACCCCAACCTGTTGTATGGATTTACATTCAGCATAACTTAAGGTTTCAAAGGTCTCTAACAGCACAGCAAAACTCACTTAAAAAAAAAAAGATTTATTTTATTTTATTAGAAAGGCAAATTTACAGAGAGCAGGAGAAACAGAAAAGATCTTCCATATATTGGTTTGCTCACCAAATGGCTGCGATGGTCAGACCTGAGCCAATCTGGAGAAAGGAGCCAGGAACAACTTTAGGGTCTCCCAGGTGGGTGCAGGGTCCCAAGGCTTTGGGCTGTCCCCTGTTGCTTTCCCAGGACACACGCAGGGAGCCAGACAGAAAGTGGAGCAGCTGGGGCATGGACCAGTGCCCACATGGGATCCCAGCACCTCAAAGGGAAGGATTGAGCCACTGTGCCAGATCTGCAAAAATCACTCCTAAACTACCCATTCTACATGAAGAAAGCAAAGGCTGAGATTCGCTGACAAAAATGACCTCTATCTGTTAGGAATGGACTTGAGCTGCATAGCTTCTGTCCCACCCACTGCAGGTCCTGGGCAGAGCATATGTTGCCTGCTGGAGGGTTAGGGGGTGGCTTGCTGGGCTCTTGTCTTGATTTCTGCGGGCTGAGCACAGGTGGGTCTGTGTATATTCAAAGGGGCTTCAGCCTGCCCTGTTGATCCTCCCATGATGCAATACTTCCTAGAGCCAGGGGTCTACACAGCTCACAAAAATACTAGCTGAGTTTATACTGGTCTTTTCTCATTCAACCCTGCACAGCACCCATGGGCAAGGGAGCAAAGGAATCCTTGCTGCCTCTGTGTGCTGAGCAACTTATTCATGAACCACTCTGCTTAAATACAAAGTTTTGTATGTGTGTGTATGACAGATGGGGGTGCAAACGTGTGTGAAGAACAGGTGAAACAAACATTGTGTTTATATCTATCTATACACACACGTGTGTGTGTGTGTTCAACATCCCTCCCGTGCAATTAATGAACTGTTTTAAGTGAGGGCATTAGCATGCCAGGCTAGCATAGTCGCTAAGAGCTGTGCAGCATAGTCAAACTGGCTTTGAACCCTAGCACTGATACCACCTGTCAGCACCCTGCATTTCCACTTTTCAAAAATAAATTTATTTTATTTGCTAGCCAAAATGAGAGAAGGCAGGGGCGGGGGGTGGGGGGAAAGGGAGAATGAGGAGACAGATCTCCCCTTTATCTGTTCACTCTCTAATGGCTGCAAAAGCTGGGGCTGGGCCAGGCCAACGTCATGAGCTAGGATCTCCATCTGGGCTTTGCACGTGCACACAGGGATTCAAGCATTTGAGTTACCTTCCACCGCTTTCCCAGGCACATTAGCAAAGGAGCAGTCAGGCTACAAATCAGTCCCCTTCTGTGATGCCACCATCACTAGTAGCAACTTTGTCATAATGCCAGTCCCTTGAAATCCCTCTTACATGTGACAGGAAAAAAAATTGTGTCAGTGTTAAGACTTTATTTTTTAAAAATCTATTTGAAAGAGTTAGCGATCTTCCATCAACCGATTCACTCCCCAAATGGCCACAGCAGCCAGGTCTGGGCCCACTGGAAGCCATGAGCCAGGAGCGCCATTCAGGTCTCCCATATTCACAAGCACTTGGGCCATCCTCCGCTGCTTTGCTGTGTGCATTAATGGGGAACTGGATCAAAAACGGAGCAGCTAGGTCTTGAACTGGCACCAGTATAGGATGCTGGCATCACATGCACCAGTACCTGTAAGACACTGCCCATTGTACTGGGCAATGTGGTGGCCACCACGTCCTGGCTGCTGAAGGCCAGCCCTCAGGGACACAAGTTCAGCCTTGGAAAACGTCCTTCCCCAAGGCCATGCCTCCTCCAGGACATGGCCACCTGAGCCATTGGCTTGACTCAGGACCATCCTGTGGGGCACAATCCTAGCTCCATAATGTGGGATTGTCTGAAGTACTCTGGGCCTGGCTGGCCACTTGCCCTCCTCCCCCCATTCCCTGCAAAAGCTGTCTTGACCTATCCACACAGCCTCCTTCGTGGGGACCCAAGCCTATGGCAGGAACTGAAGATGCAAGCCTAAGCCTTGGTGTGGCTTCAAGGATGTCCCCTAAGTGCAAGCTACAGTGTTAGATACGCACAGCCCCTAAAGGGAAAGGCAAAATGCAACAAGAGCCCAACCAAAACAGGCTTAGGTCTTCCCTGCTCCATATACCAGCATGGGTACCTAGGCCTGCCACAGGGTGGCACTGATGTGGCTGAATTCTGCTTGGAAACCTGTGATGCTTAACAAGCCTCAAGATATTATCTTTTTTGAGATAACAATTCTTTTCCCCCCACAAATCTCCAGGTGGTTCCTCTTTATTAACTTGAAAGGCAGAATTACAAACAATATCCCATATACTGGTTTACTCCCAAAAGAATGAAATAGCCAGGACTTTGCCAAGCTGAAGCCAGGAGCCAGGAGCTTCACTCATGTCTCCCACAGAGGTACAGGGGCCCAAGCACTTAGGCCATCTTGTACAGCTTTCCCAAGCCATCAGCAAGGAGCCTGATTGGAAGTGGAGCAGTCTGGGCACGAATGGCTGCCACACAGGATGTGTTACTACGCCCCAGCACTTGCCCCTGAGTTAACAGTTCTGGCTGGTATCTTAAGAGTATCTCATGGACTGATGTCAAGAACCCATGGCCTGTTCACGCCTCCCACTGGGTCCCAGCTGGGCTGCCTAAGGTGATCATAGCAAGGACCCAGAGGCAGGGAGGCTAGACCCAGATACAGGTGGCAACCTAGACAACTCCTGCCTGGCTTGGAGACTCAAGGTTCCAAAGCAACCACAGGCCTGCAGTCATGGAGAGCTGGTCAGGCAGCTAGCTGGGGGTTAGCCAGTGAAAGTGGTGGCTGGAGTGGCCGATGGTGCCTTCCCACCCTCCCACAGCAGATTCTTCCCTCTTGCCCTCTGCTTTCTGAAGAGAAGCTGGCTGCCAGCAGCATATTCCTGCCTCCCCCGTTCTACCACAGGCAGGGCACTTCTTGGCTCCTGCAGCACAGCTTCGGTTACTACACGTACAGCAACCTCGCATCCCAGACATCATGAAACCACAAGGCAACTGGAAACCATCTGGTGCCTCCTCACAAGACAGCGCTTCGTCCAGGCTGCCAGGGCCATAGTCCAAGGCATGTACTTTCAGAAGGCAGTGCAGGCTATTAGAAGTTGCTCATCTAACAGTGTGGGCTGTTGTAAGTTGGCTGTGGTCTTTTTAGCAAACTCTTTCCCACAAGGCAGAAAACAAACAAACAAAAAAAAGAAGCCAGGGTTGTGGTACAGCAGGTAAGTTGCTACTTGGGATGCCCAAATCCCTGTAACATACCGCTGGCTCAAGTTCCAGCTGTTCTTTGTCTCCCCGACTTAGCTCCCTGCTTATGTGCCTTGAAGACAGCAGGTCAGAGCCCTGGTTTGCTCTTTGCCATCCCATAGGAGATACAGCTGCAATTTTTGGCTTTGGCCTGATCAGCTCTGGCTGCCGATGAAGATCTGCCTTTCAAATAAATTAAGCATGTAACACCAGGGCTTTTTCTTATTGATATGCAGGCAGAGGGCTGAGCTTAGACCCAGCTGTGTCCACACACAGAAACAGAGTCTGTGTCCTGGAAGCTATCTGCTGCATTTCTGGGGAGCCCGAGGAGGCAGAGCACTGCAGGGCTCGCAGGTAGTGGGTCCAGCAGCCCTCTCACCCTGGGAGCCACACCATGAGCACTCACCAACTTGCTGCCCCCCCAGCCACCTGACCCTCAGGGCCCGTGGCAGCTCTCACAGCAGTCACCAGCTCCACAGAGTCAGCAAGTATCTGCTGCTGACCCTGGGTTCCCAGTTGTCACCAAGAGCACAGTGACACCTGCGTTTTAATGTTGCATCTGTGGCAACCATTTATGAAGCACACTGCTTGGGCTACCACCTCCTCTCCCCTTACAGACTGCTCAATTAGAAAATAAAGCACACTGCTTTCTTTTTAGCAGATCTGGTTCTCAATCAGGAAAAACAAAAAAACAGGAAAACACTCCAGCAGAACGGGGACAAGGCTGGCTTTCCCTTCAGCCCCAGGGTCCAGAGCAGAGAAACAAGACAAGTCTGGGCCAGGGCCTGCAGAAGAAGGCAGGTGGCAGAGTGTGTTCAGGGCCAGGCTCCAGAGGCAGTTCCAACTCCAAAGCAGCAGGGCCGAGACAGCAAGCCCCTGATTCCTTCAGCAGAGGCTGAGTGCAGGCGAGGGGGATAGCACCTCAGCAGTGCCTGCACACTCCCCTTGGTTGCATGGGCTGGCTCAGACCACCCCAAGTCAGGGAAGGTGATCTCCACGTCACCTCCTCTCAGAGACGCAGCTGGTGCTGCTGTGGCTTCCTCTGTGTGACCACAATGGGAGGCCTAGACTCATCTAGACTGCATCTTAGACTCATTTTAGATGTCCAGGCCCGGCAGCAGGTGACCACTGTGGCTCACCCCAGGAGCAGCAGACAGGTGGCCAGGGAGGTGCCAGGAGGGTTTAATTTACATAGCAACCACCTGGGCCCAGTCAGAGCTGGGGCCAGGGGGTACCCCTAACTCCAGAAGGCAGTCCCAGCTCCTGCCTGGGCAGACTAGTCCTCCACACTGCACAGTGGAGAGAGGTGTCCAGGGCTAAGGCTGTCCCACGCTGGGGGAAGTCGTGGTGATTCATGGGTCTGGGGGATGAGTCCATGTCCTGGGCTCTAGAAGAAGCCCTCCCGGCGAAACTGTTCCTGCAGGAGGGCCCGGTACTGGTCAAACCCCCCTTCAACCCGAGTGACACCACCTCCTTCGCACACCCACAGTTCTCGGCACACCAGCCGTATGAAGCGTTCGTTGTGGGACACCAGAATCACGCCACCCTGAAAGATAGGGGAGTGGGAAGAATCAGGGTACATAGAGGCGCGCCACGGCCTGTGTCAGGGCTGACGCCAAGGCATACTCACCCTGAAGTTGTTGAGTGCGCGGCCCAGAGCCTCAATCGTCTCCATGTCCAGATGGTTGGTGGGTTCGTCCAGAATGTAGAAGTTGGGGCTGAAGGATAGAAGCCAGGAAGATGAACGGTTACAGGACTGAAGGGATGGGAGAAAATAAAACTGTCCTGGTACAAGGGGGAAGGACCATTTTCTACAGCACACGAAGAAGAAACAGGGGCAGGAGTGCTAACAGATGAGGCCTCACCAGGGCATGGTCATCTGGGCAAAGGCCACCCGGCTCTTCTGGCCCCCCGATAAGCTTGCAACAGGACGCATGGCCAGTTCTCCAGAGATGCCATACCGGCCCAGCTGGTGCCGATACTCCTCCTCAGGCCGCCCTGGAAAAGGGGCATCAGGTGAATTCTTGGCCTGGCTCCCTCCCTCTCCCTCCAGCCTTGCCTCCAATATCCATGTCTGCTGGTGGGCATTGTGGTGGGTTAGGCTGCTGCTTGGGACATCTGCATCCCCTACTGTAGCATGAGCTCGAAGTCCTGGCTGCTGTTTCTGACCCAGTCTGTCGCTAATGCACCTGCGAAGGTAGCAGATAATAGCCCAAGTACTTGAGCCCTTGCTAGGCATGGGGAAAGCCTGGATGAATGGAGGCCCTGGCTCCAAGCTTCAGCCTAGGGCAGCCTTGGCTGTCACAGGCATCTGGGGAGTGAAGCAGAAGACGGAAGATAGAGCTCTGTCTAACCCTCTCTGTTACTCTGTCTTTCCAGTAAATAAATATACCTTTAAAAACAAACGCCCACATTCTGACACCTACTGTTCAGGGGCTTTTCTGCACCCATCCCAAGGCAAGTGGACCTAAAGGGGCCAGCTCTGCTGTCTGGCTTCAACTCAGGTCCCTAACACACCGGGAAACTTGCGTGCCAGTAGTTCCACGGCGCTGACGTTCAGGTCCAGCTGCTCCACATGGTGCTGGCTGAAATAACCAATCTTCAGGTTCCTATGGGCAGAAGGGAAGCTGAAAGCGCACGGAGGCAGCAACCAAGGAGGCTCATAAGCAGTTTCTGTATAGGGTTAGGAGATGAGGGCGAGGTGGGTGGGTCTTACCTATGAGCATGCCTGATACCTCGGACGGGTGCTAGGTCCCCCATGAGCAGCTTCAGCATAGTCGATTTTCCAGCTCCGTTCTCTCCAACCTGCAGAAACATGACCCGCTACAGTGCATGCGGAAGGGAAGGTCGCAAGGAGGGGTCCTCACTGTACCCACGGCTGCTTCAACAACCAAAACCAGGGCCTGGAGCAGTAGCCTAGTAGCTAAAGTCCTCGCCTTGCACATGCCAGGATTCCATATGAGTGCCAGTTCTAATCTCAGCAGCCTCACTTCCCATCCAGCTCCCTGTTTGTGGCCTGGGAAAGCAGTTGAGGATGGGACCTTGCACCTGCATAGGAGACCCGGAAGAGGCTCCTAGCTCCTGGCTTTGAATTGGCTCAGCTCCGGCCTTTGCAGCCACTTGGGGAGTGAACCAGCAGATGGAAGTTCTACCTCTCTGTATATTTGACCTTCCAATGAAGAAAAAAAAAAAAAACCTGCAACCAAAACCAGATGTTTCAAGGATGTGTATAGAAATACAAAGTAAAGCTAGAAAAGGAGCCGATAACTGATACTTAGCACTTGCTAAGTGCTGGGGACTGACTGCTCCCAATAACCAAGGGAGCCAGATGTTATCTCCATCTTAAGGAGGAGGGAGTTGCCTGATAAGTGAGGCAGGAAATGACCCAGTCAGAATTTGCAGCCTGGCTCTTGGGGCCATGCCAAATCCTCAAGGCCCCATGGTTTAAGGAAACTCAGATCAAGTGTGGCTCTAAGAAGCCAACAAGTACCCCGCACCAGGCTCCCCACCTGTAGTTCGCACTTACTAGGGGAGCATCAGTAACACAATGTGCTGGCCCTCTGTGGAACCACCCTCCTCAGGTCATGCCATCCCACAAGCCCTGGACTCTTAGAGGGGTCGGTGCGTCAGGCGGGCAAACAGCAAACATACCACACAGATGCGGGACTCAAGGTCAGCAGAGACGGACAGACGACTAAAGATGACATGCTTAGGGTCGTAGTGGAAATCCACCTCGTCTAGCTGAAGGATTGGTGGGGAGAACTTCTCGAACCCATCAGGAAACCTATAGGAGGTGGGGATGAAGCCAGGGTGGTAGCCGGGAGCAAGGGTCACCTACCGGCACCCCCTGGCCCCACACTCACTTCAGCACAACTTCCGATTCCTTGTCCACAGGTTTCAGTTCCGGTCTGCAGGGAGAGATGGGACATATGAACCCTAGGGCCTGTGTGTGGGTTAAGTCATAGCTTGTAATACAGAATTTCATATCACAGCACTGATTTGAGGTCTGGCTGTTTCACTTCCAATCCAGGTCCCTGGACGGCTGCAGAGGGTGGCCAGAGTCCTTGGAACTCTGCCAGCTGGGATGGAGTTCCTGGTTCCTCAGTGGTCATGTAGAGAATGAGCCAGTGGTTAAAAGATGTCTCTCTCACTCTGCTTTTCCAATAACTACCTGTTTTTCCGGGTCTCTCACATGGGTGCAGGGTCCCAAGGCTTTGAGCCATCCTCCACTGCTTTCCCAGGCCACAAGTAGGAAGCTGGATGGGAAGCAGAGCAGCCGGGACACAAACCAGTACTCATATGGAGTGCCAGCCCTTGCAGGCAAGGGATTAGCCAATTGAGCCATCACATCAGCCCCTATCTGTTCTTGAACACACAGCATGTGCATAGATTAAAACTCAGAAAAGGCTTCTCTAAACATTACTCACATAACCCCAGTCTCATGGTTCACTGCGCTCTGAAACACAGCTGCCCCTGCAGGGTGTAGCACGGGTGGGCTGCCAAGTCACCATTCCACTCCCTTACCCCTCACTGGCACTTCTAACAAGGATGCTTCAAGGATGATGGCCAAGATCGATACTTATTAAGGAAAAGCAGATCAAGACCAAAACTGATAATTCACTAGGATGGCTGAAATGCCAAGAGCCGTTGGTATGCCTACCAAGAATAAACAGGCTTTCTTAGGCTGCAGGCAGGAATGTGAACTGCTGCCTGCTGCGGCTCCCTCTGAAAACAGGCTAGCTTTCCTTAGCTACACATGGAATTATCTCATCATCCAGAAAACCCACTCCTAGGTATGCAAAGTAAAGACGCATGCCCACATGAAGACTTGTACACAAATATTCATAACGACATCATTCATAATAAGCAAAACGAAGGAAAACCAAATGTCAATTCCTTGAGAAATAAACAAAATATGTTCTCTATATGGATGTAATATCTAGCCATAAAAATAAATGAAGTATTAATCCATAGTACAACACAGGTGAACCTTGAAGAACATGATGCTAAGAAACCAGACACCAAAAGTCACATGGTTCTGACTCTACTTATGGGCAATCCCCGAGTGAGCAAACAGAGCCAGGAAGTGGGTGTGTCATTGCCCAGGCAAGATGGGCTCTGAAAGAGCAGTACAGAGCAGTCTGCTCTCCTGCAGGAGGGAAAACACAGAGATGAGGCGGGGCTGGGGCCCAGCCAAGGACAAAGTACTCACAGCTTCTCCAGCATCTTCAGTTTACTCTGTACTTGAGAAGCCCTGTTGGCATTATAGCGAAATCGATCGATGAAAACCTGTGGAGGGAGAGGAGGCAAGCATGGTGTAGGCAGATCGGTCAAGCTTTCTCACTCCCCTCAACTCCTGACACCCATGCATGCCCTGTGCACACTGCACACCTGGATGTGCTGGCGATACTGCTGCTGGGCCTCATATTCCCGCTGCTGGTTGAGCAAGCGCTCCTGCTTGCTCTTGATGAACGTCTCAAAGTCACCGCGGTAACCATCTAACCGCTGGCTGTGCAAGTGGATGATGTCGGTGGCAATGGCATTCAGGAAGTTGCGGTCGTGGGAGACGACTAGGATGGTGGAGGGCCACGTCTGAGGAAGGGGCACAGGACGGCAAGGCCCAGTTTGGGAGGGCAGTCAGTTTTCAGGCCCCCAGGTGTTTCTCCAAAGCAGTATATCCACCCTTCTCCCCACTGCCCCCCAACTTCCCTGTAGTTGTTGGCACTAACCTGCAGGTAGTTCTCCAGCCACAGGATGGCCCTCACGTCCAACATGTTTGTAGGTTCTGGAGAAGAAGTCAGGGAGCACACACAGTGATTAAAGGACTGCAGAACCAGGAGCGTAGGCACTACCTCTCCTTCTCATCCCAAAGTCAGGAGAATCCATGTCAAACTCACCATCTAGCAGCAGGAGATCTGGCCTGCGGAAGGGAACACATAGCATCAGGGTGTAAGTAAATCACTGACTCCACTGAGACCCCGCAGGAGTCAGGGCCCATCTTCCATGGGGCTCTAGACATGGGGCCCAGGATGCTTACCTAGCAAACAAGGCCCGGGCTAGGGCCAGTCTCATTCTCCAGCCACCCGAGAACTCCCTAAACAAAGAGCCACATGTCAGGGGTGGCGGTTCACCAGAGCAGGGTCAACAGTGTTCAGGGGCAGCAATGGCAGGGCACTCACCGGGTGGGCTGCTGCTGCATCTTAGGAGTAAAGCCAAGCCCAGCGAGGATGACAGAGGCCCTAGGAGTGAAGACATTCAAGAACCCAGCTACAACAACTCACAGGAGAGAAAAGGGGAACTGGAAGAAAGGGGGGCTTTTACTTACCGGGCAGGTGCCTTGTCTGCTTCAATCTCCTCCAGTTTCGCATAGATTTCTGCCAGCTGTGCAGCCTCAGTGCCTTCGGCCCTGGAGAAAAAGGGACAAAGCAAGCAGCCTGAGCCCAGGCAGCCCAGCAGCATGTCCTCCAGCACCCTGCAAAGTGGGCCCCTAGCCACTATGTTGTTGGGACAAGAAAAGACTGTAAGAAAAACCTTCCCAAAGTAGTAAGGGTACGAGCACTGTGGAAGGAACAGGGCTTTGAGGGAGGAGAGGGGGGCCAGGGGCTGTGGCTGTGGAACAGAGGGTTAAGACTCTACCTACAATACCAGCATCTCATATGAGCATAAGTTCCAATCCCAGCTGCCCTATTTCTGATCCAGCTCTTTACTAATGTCCTGGGAAAGCAGTCAAAAGGGCTCTTACCACTCACATGGGAGACCCGGATGGAGTTCCAGGCTCATGGCTTCAGCATGGCCCCTCAGCCCAAGCTCTTGTGGCCATTTGGGTAGCTGATGGAAGATTCCCCCACCCCCCGCAACTGCTATGCCTTTCTAACAAATGGAATAACCCTAACAATTTAAAAAGTTTTAAAAGAGATAGAAAGAGATGGAGACAGTAGAACATCAGTGTCCCATCGTGTCTCGTCCCAGGCTCTAGCCGGCTCCAGGCATTTCGGGCTGTGAGAGAGAAGAACCTCACCTGCCCGCAGCAATCTGACTGCTGAGTTCCCGCTCTCTCCGCAGCAGGTCCTCCCGCACACTGTCACTCTCCAGCACACTCTGGAGGGCAGGAGTGTCATCTCCCGCCACCTCCTGCTCCACGTGCAGCAGAGAAATGTGGGCTGGTACCCGCAGGCTCCGGGTGGCCAGCATCTTCAGCAGCGTCGTCTTTCCCAGGCCATTTCGCCCCACCAACCCATAGCGGCGGCCCCACGCCAGGTTCACGTCAGCTCCAGCCAGCAGTACCCTGTGAGGGGTAGCAGATGGGAGACCTGCTTAGTTTCCCCAACAGAAACGTGAAGCAGGTTTTGGCTCCATTCTCCAGATGATCCTTTCATTGGAAAAATAAACAGACTGCCACCCTGTTGGCAAATCCCTCACCGATCGCCAAAAGACACGTCGAAGTTCTCAATGCGCACGTCATAGGACTTGTTCTTGCCAGAAGATTCCAGCCGACTCTCTTTCCTGCTCCCTGCCTGGCTTGCAGATGCCTCTTCCAAGACTCTGAACAGAGAGCCATGGCTGTTAGTGCCTCTGGGCGCCCTGCATCCCCTGCCCTGCTCCCAGCAGAGCCCTTCTTCCTAAACTCACGGAGGGCCACTGGTCTTGAGGCTATCCTTCTCTGAGCGTTTTTCCTGCTTGGCCTTCAGGCGCGCTTCGGCCTTCTCTAGTTTCTTGGCGTTCACTGTCTGAGGTTGCAAAGGAAACCACTTCACCCTAGGGTGCAGGCTCAGAAAGGAAGCCCCAGAGAAAAAGCCTCAAGGATACCCTCTCCACTTAGTCACCGCCATTAAAGACTGCAGAATGGCAAGCATCAGAAATTCCCACGAGACTCTCCCTGGGACAGTTACACACAACTCCTGCCTCCCACCTCCACCTTGCACACACACACACACACCCTCCCTTTCTTCCTCCTGCTCACCGAGGACTGTTCTCTCTTTAGCAATCCTGGAAGTCTGGGGTCACAGTCTGTAAGTGATAAGAAAAGCAGTCACCTTCTCCCTGAAGGGAAAGGAAGCTAAGGTTTAAAATGACTTAAAAAAAAGAAAAGTCTCAGCATCCTGAGATAGCTAGGGAGCTATTATCATCCTTCCCCTCCCTGCAGCCAAAACACTAACTCCCACGGAGGCAGAAGCTAAGGCTGGGCCACACCACCTCCTCCTCTGAGGAGTCAGAGCAATTGGTTAGTAAGTTGCCCAGCTCAAGGGCTTCACTGCACCCTGGGGTTCTTGGCCGTCACTACAGAAACGCGGGCACCCAGTCCTGTGGGGGCGGGCAGCTGGGGAAGGGCAGGGCGCAGCCTCTCCTCAGCTCACCGTAGCTCTCCGTTATCTTTGACAGCTGAATGGGGGCGTCCAGCAGCACCTGGCTGTTCCCTTGACTTGGTGGCTCGGCACTAAGGGGGGCGGGGCGGACAACAGAGTTAGTAGGAGCCCTCCTGTGGTGGTCCGGCTTTCTTCCCCTCCTCCCGCTTTCCGGCCCCGGCCTCCCAACACCTACAGGCGCAGTGTGTTGTACATGCGCTGGCACACGGCTCTGATGCCCGCGTCATCCTTGCTGTCCCCGGACACCTCCTGCAACAGTTCCCCCACAGCTTCCACCAGATCATCCACAGACTCGAAATCCGCGCTGCCGCTGTGCAACACACCTAGGCCGGACGTGGCAGGATAACGACAACATGGGAAGCGGCGGACACACAAACACTTTCAGTCCCTGAACCCGCGGCCCCCAACTGGGGCTGCAGACCCTACCGGCGTCCGGGACGAGAGGTCACGCGGAGGAGAGGCCTGGCAGCGGTCCCCGGCCCTGCCCTCCCGCAGTCTTTCCTACTCCGAGCTCCTCTTCAGCCTCCCTAGCCCCTTGATTCGGTTCAGCTCACCAGTCACGTAGTCGAAGACCTGTCCATCAATTTCCGGGAACTCGCTCCGTAGGATCTCGGCGCAGGTCGCCATGTTCCAGGAGGCATCCCGTCTGCGCAGTCGCGTTGAGACCTCGGCCTGGACCCGCCCCCTACCCTCCCCGGAAAGCGCGCGCCTCTATTCCCAAAGCGCAAGCGTAACGGTGACGTAAGCCCGGAGCAGCAGGCGCGGAATCCGCGGGTGGGGTGCACCGACGCCGGAAGAACCGTGCGCAAGCGCAGCTCAGCTTGTGCCGAGGGGCTCTCTGCGCCTGCGCCACGCCTGCTTTGGAGGGTTAGCCCCGCGTGCGACTCTGGCTGCGTGGTTGGTGGGTGGTGGAGCTCCGCAGGCCAGGGCTGGGCCGGGGCGGGACCTGCAAGCTGGAGGCTTATCAGGGTGCGGAGAAGCGCTTCTCCCACTGGTGGGAGCGGAGGACAGACAGGCGGCTGATAAAGCACATTGGTTTTGCTAGGTTTTATGTGCTCCCGCGGGGCGCACGTACCAAACGAGCCCATATTGAAGATCCGCCGTGAGCTTTGCTGACTCATGCCGTTTCCTGAACTCTCAGAAATCCCCTGCTGTTCTGTGCCTCAGCCTTTCCCGCAGCCTGTGTTCAGCGGATCCTAGCGGGAGTCTTGCCTTTTGAGTTCTTCACCCTCCCCTCCTCCCCCGAGGACACTTCTTCGCTCACTGCCAAAGGGGCAACAGAATCTGGTGGACGAGGTGGCCCGTGTAAATTCACTGGTGCTTGTTCCCTACCTGCGTCCCAGAACCGACTTCTGTCCCCAAGTTTCAGTCATAGTAAAAGGCCGCTTGTTTGATGGATTCCGTAAAGTAGATGAGGCCACTGCCTTATATTTCATGTGAATATTGTGACCCGACTCTAAATGAACCTAACATTGTACAATCTTTTTGGATTAAGCATTGCCCAAATCTCAAGTTTTCAAATTGCTGAAGAAAAACATGCCCGGAATCTCTAGATCTATTTAATAGGATAAAGGTAGAGAGGAACGCAGGGGACCATGTGGTAACCTAGTGGCTAACGTCCTCACCTTGTATGTGCCAGGATCCCACATGGGCGCCAGTCGGCGGCCCCGCTTCCTATCCAGCTCCCTGCTTGTGGCCTGGGAAAGCAATTGGGGATGGCCCGAGGCCTTGAGACCCTGCACCCCCATGGGAGATCTGGAAGAGGCTCCTGGCTTTAAGAGCAGCACCGCCCTTTGCAGCCTGCTTGGGGAGTGAATCAACGCAGGGAAGATCTTCCTGTCTCTTCTCCTCTCTATATACCTGCCTTTCCAATAAAAAATAAATAAATCTTTAAAAAAAAAAAAAAAAAAAAGAGGAGGGCCCGGCATGATGGTGCAGTGGTTAAGGTCCTCGCCTTGCACGCCCAGGATCCCATATGGGCACCGGTTCTAATCCTGGCAGCCCCGCTTCCATCCAGCTCCCTTGCCTGTGGCCTGGGAAAGCAGTCGAGGACGGCCCAAAGTTTTGGGACCTTGCACCCACGTGGGAGATCCAGAAGAGGCTCCTGGCTTTGGGTTGGCTCAGCTCCAGTTGTTGCAGCCAGCTGGGGAGTGAATCATTGGATGGAAGATCTTCCTCTCTGTCTCTCCTTTCTGTATATCAGCCTTTCCAATAAAAATAATAATAATAAAAAAAGAGGAATGTAGGGACACAACAGGCAAATTTTGATGGGGAACTACAGAGCTCTTGTTTGTTCAACAAAATAACAAGAGCGGAGGAGAAAGACTGTTGAGTTTTTAAGACAGATTAACCAACCACAATGGATCCCCACCTGATCCAGATGGAACCTTTGGAAGTTTTTGTAAGATAGCTGGAGTAAATGAATAGACTGATGCGAGACAGGGGATCAGCCATGAGTTAATCATTGTTGAAGTTGGATTGGTTTGTGGGGGATTCACTTTGTTACTCTTGGACTTGTTCCAACCATGGGCAACTGCTGAGGGAAAGTCTACTCTTCTTTCCCAGCCCGCTGGGCAGCCCCGGGATGCAGTCTCTTCAGGACTTGCTTACCACAGGGTCTCTGGTGTGGTGATAGTATCCAAGGAAGTTCTCTAAACCTGGAGGGCGGAACAATCCAATCTTTCCCTCCCACCCCCTGAGGTGTGGGAGGCCAGGGGAAACAGTCTCGCTCTGGGAGACTGCAGGGTTAAGTATACCTGGTTATCTATGTTAACTATGGTAATACCAGAGTGAGGTGGGAGAAGAATCTCTTCAAGGACTGGTGGGGCAGTGTGACCTTGAGGCTGTTTTCTTGGACCTGGCCATGCAATTCACAACCCCTACTCACAGCTTGCAGGGAGAGAAATCCCACCAGCTCCCCTCCCTGTCTGTGCAGCAACACCCAGCCAACAACTCCACTCTACAGTTTATTGGGTTTATAACTGGACGAAGTCACATGTGTACAAAATGAAGCTCACACTATCCCAAAGCAGAGTAGGAACTGGGGGCTGGGGATCCATTACTGGCCTTTGGGGGAGCTCCGAGGTGAGGGGCAGCCAACCCTCCCACTCCAGAAGTTGCGGCCACAGGGTTTGGGAGGAGAGAGGGCCCACCTGGCTTTGGTCACAGAACTCAGGGCCTGGCACATAGGCCAAGACAGACAGGTGGAAGAGCAAGAGCCCCAGACACTACCCTGAGCAGGGAGCCCGAGGGCTGCTCCGCCAGTCCAGCTCACAATGCAGTTGGTCCAGACCTAGACTCAGGGGCTGGTGCAGAGGGAAGGTAGCAAAGCAGAAGGGAGGAGACACTGATATGTGGTGGCCGGGGGCATCCAGACCCATGGAAGAGGGTTGCTGGGGAAGTGGGCTAGCTGCTGCAAGGTAGCTAGCAGCGGGTCTCATAAATGCCACTGCGGCCAATGTAGCGCACCCATTTGATGACATCATGATCGCTGTAGTTCAGCTTCGGTTCAAACACCTTCAAGTAGCGCACCTTGAGGCCAGAGGGTGCGAATGGCACCTGCACAAGGAAGTTCCAGTTCAGGAATGCAGCCTTCTTAGCACAGCTGCTCTCCTCTGGGAAGCTCTATAGTTCTTCCCTCCCTGCCTCCTTCCCCCATCTCTACTGCAAGCATGTAAATGACCACACTGAAAGTTGAGAAACTAAGGTGGGAGAAGCCCTCATAAGGGTACTATGGACGAAAGCATATCCAAGAGTAACCAGCAATCATTTTGGATTGAAGACAGGCCCAGCCTATGGTAACCTGAATCGACTCCTCTAGTCAGCAGGGAACAGACAGCTTTAAAATTCACTTCCCTGCTCAGTAATAATGAGTTCAAAATAAAGCCAATTGGCTGTCCTGTATGAGACTAAACTTGGTGTCATTTCCGGCATTCGGATGATCTGAATCTTCCCCAAATAAGTGTTTTGCAAGCTAAGAGAAGTCAAAGATTTGAATAGTGTTCTCTATTAAGAGGCTTGAAGGCAGAAGAAATGGTTCTATCAGTAAGTCACTTTTCCTTCCTAAGCCTCATTCTGCTCATCTGGAGTTGGCATTGTGGCATGACTGGTTAAAGCTACCACCTGTGCACCTATATATGTCAGTTCAAGTCTCAGCTGTTCTACTTCCAACCCAGCTTCCTGCTAATGTTCAGGATGGAGTTCTGGGCTCCTGGCTTTGGCCTGGCCCAGACTTGGCTGTTGTTTGGCACCAATTTGAAAGTGAACCACTAGCTGGCAGGTACTTTTCTCTCGATCCACCCCCTTGCTTCCCCTCCTCTCTCTGGAACTTCTGTCTTTCAAATAATCAATCAAAGAAAACCACCCTTCCGAGCACACCTTGCCACATGGCTGTAGGCCCACCCTCTGCCATACCTCGAAATTCATGGAAATAGGAGGCCGAGCCCATTTCTTCTTGTCGTTGGTGGGTAGAAGCTCAATCTCTGCGCTAATCTGCGATTCCTTCATGCCTGCCATGCGCTTGATCCTGGGAATGCAGGGGCAACGGGCAGCAAGTGCCCGAAATAGGTTGGAAGAATTTCAAGGGGGATCACTATTTCACACAGGAAGGACGCCTGGGAGCTTGTGGAAGCTGTTGGGACTGAAAGCCACTGGCTGGGGAACCCTACATTTGCTCCTCATATAGCACCATGGGCTGCAGTTTCTACCTCAACCCAAGTGCATGATGTCCTCTGCTCCATTTCACGGATATTACAGGGGCAAGTGGAGAAATGCTAAAGCATCTTGAAAAGTGCATACCCAAACCCAAACACAGTCTACCCACATGAACAGAAGCTCCTGGGAAGCAACAGGCACACTTCTCAGCCCCTGTCCCCCCCACAACGAGGATGAAAGGGGAAACTTAACAAGAGGGCACACTATGGCATCTTGATCCCTGCTATGACCTGGCCAGGACTCACTTCCACACGATGGCATTCTCGCTGGCCTTGTACTTGGCCTTCCCCTTCATGCAGATCACCTGCACACCACTTGTGTTCAGTGGGGTCGGAATCCTCACCTGAAAGGAACCAAGCTGTCAGGGAGCTGGATCAAGCCCTGACAGTAATGGCCTTTACTTCTGGAGACAAGTACCTCCTTGCCCTCAAGCTCCTTGCCCTCACCTCAATCTTCTGAGCCAGCAGTGAGGGCTTGAAGTTGGACTTGATGACAACCTTTACCTCCAGCTTGGTGCGGCCTACTTCCCGCACCAGTGGGATCACCCGGAAGGGAAGGATGATGTCCTTGGTGGTGCGATACCTTTGAGGAGAGGGATCAAGGTTAGAACCAGAGAGTTGCTCCCCTCCCTCCCTATACCTGCTCTCTGCCAGCAGCACTCCAGTGGCACCTCATGAGCTCAAACTCTCCATCTGGTGGGATGAAGCTGATACTGCGTTCAGAGTCAAACTTGCTGAGTCGCACACACTGGTGGAAGGTGCAGTCATCAATGGCAATTGATTGCTTCCCGCTGCAGTCAGAGGCAAAGAAATCTTGCTGGTCCAAAGAGTGGCAGGTAGCACGCCAGGGAACCGCCCAAGACTGACTCCACACACTAGAGAAAGCTGCCCAAATGCAGCTTTCGGATGTGGGAGCCTGAGCCCCCACCCAGCACACGGACCGAGTGGGAGTGTCGTGCGCTCCTCATCTCGGGATGCTGCTGCTCAGGCTGCAGGTGTTGAAACACCAGGCAGAGGCCAG